ACCCCCCCCACCCACACACACACAGGTACACGTACTGCACTCACACCCGTTCCCACCATATACATCTTCATGGCCTCTGCATTGCGCTGCAGACGCTTCTTCTCCGCCGCTCCAGCCATGGTCGAGTCGAGTGAGTACCCCCACCTCCCCCACCACCCCTCCGGCCACCCATCCCACTCCACCTGCTCACCACCCCCTCAAACCACCATCCCATCACCATCTGCATACATACGCCAAGACCGGGCAGCCAGTTGAGATTTCAGTCAGCGGTCGAGTCACTGGCGGTGCCAGCCAGCCACCGCCTCCTTTTGAGTCACTCCCGACTCACCACAGCCAAGCCACGCCATCCATCCATTCACATCCACTCGTCTCCTACACCACTAATCGTACGTATTCATGTGTGCCACACACCTGCACCCGCTCCCAGCGATTGTCATGGACCCTCTGGCGCGTCAGGGCCGTGGATAAGTCCGGGTCTCCCTCCCAGCTGTCTCGGGTCACTCTGGGCCACCGACCCTGTTGACCATAAAAGCGCAACATTTTCGGCAGCGGCGACCGTGACTGACCCGTAGCCACTCCCACCTCCTTCGCTACAGACCGCCGCGTCACCATGTCTGAGGACGCCAACTCGAACTCGCTCATTGCGCTCAACATTCTCCGGCTCGTCGAGTCGGCGTACCACATCCATGACCCAGAGATCGAGGACTCGCCGATCTCGGTCTCGCAGCTCCCGCCGGCAGGCGCCTCGGAGGACGCCCGCATCTACCGCTACCTCGGCCGGTTCCAGATCTTTGCCACCTCGTCGGACCTGCCGTTTGAGCCGAACACGGTGATCGAGATCACCTCGGACCGGTCAGTCTTTGACGCCTTTGACCTCCTTGTCCACCACAACGTTCTCTCCATGCCCATCCGCGATCCGCAGTCCGGCGCGTACCTCGGGCTCATCGACATGGTCGACCTCGTCCACCTCGCCATGACCTCATTCGATCAGGCCAAGCTCACTGACCTCGCCTCGCTCACAGGCTCGGCAGACTCGATCTTTGTCGGCTCACTCGCCGACGCCGCCAACATCTCGTCGTTCAATCCGTTTGTCGCCGTCCCCAACGGCGTCGCCCTCCTCGCCGTCATGCGGCTGCTCGGCGAGCGCGGCCTCCGCCGCATCTGCGTCACAGACAACGACGGCCAGGTGACAGGCATCATCTCACAGTCGTGGCTTGTCCGCTGGCTCAACATCCACAAGCTTGCCCCCGGCGCCGACCTCATGAACGCCACCGTCGCCGACCTCGCCCTCGTCTCGGGCCCAGACCTCGTTGTCTCGGTCCCGGACAACGCTCTCGCTGCAGACGCCTTCAAGGCCATGGTCGACAACGGAGTCACCTCGTGCGCGATCGTCGACAGCAACGACGGCACGCTCGTCACCGTCGTTTCGGTCCGTGATCTCAAAGTCCTCCGCGGCTCGGGAACCGAAGAGACCGACCACCAGCAGTCGTTCTCCTTCACCGCCCTTTTTGCGCCCATCATGGACTTTGTCTCGGCCTCGCGCATGCAGAACCTTGTCACCTTCCCGGCTGTCGTTGGAGTCCGCCCAACCGCCACCCTCGGCACCGTCATTGCAAAGTTTGCCTCCACCGGCCTTCATCGCGTCTTTGTTGTCGACGACAAGCGCATGCCTGTCGGCGTCATCTCGCTCGGCGACGTCATCCGCACGATCCCGACACGCTCGCAATAGCCTCACCAGTCCCCGCCACCATGCGTCGCCCGCGCCGCGGCCCGCTCCCGCCGCCACCAGTAGACGGCGGCGCTGGCGCTCGGAGCGCCCCGCCCGCAGCCGACTCGATAACAAACCCGATTGCGCCCGGATCCGACACGTCGACTCCACTCTGCCTGCTCGCCGTGTTCTCCGCCAGCGCTGCAATGCCTTGGATTGAGTACGGCGTCGTCGATGATGACGACCGCGACGCCGCCGCCGCGCTCGCCGCAGCCCGTCGCAGCTGCACCATCTGCCGCTCCAGCCGCGCCCGCTGCTCGGCCGCAGCCTTGCTTGCGTTTCGGGCAAACGTCCGCCACCGCTCCTCCTGCCCACGTACTCTCTCAACCTGCTTGGCCGCAGCCTTGGCTGCGTGTTCGGCCTTGAACAGTCGTTGCTGCGTAGCTTGCAGCCGCCGAAGCACCGGCCGCCGCGCATCGGCTGCCGATCGCGCCGCCACAACCCGCGCGTTCAGCCGCGCTTCCGTCGCCACGTCGCTATCCTCCACCTTGCGCTCGAGATCATGGATGGTGTGCTGCTGCTGCATGGCGATGCGAAACAGCTTGATGTTCTCCTTCACCGCCGTCGGATGGTCCTTGGTCGGTAACGCGCGAAGGAATGCCTCCTCCTCCAGCAGCAGGTCCAGGCCCGAGATCCGGTCGGCCCTCGCTGTCCCCTTTCCCCGGCGGCCCATCAGAATCCGCTCCAGCGAGTACTGCCCCCCGCTACCTCTGCTGTCGAGATCGCTCCCGCCGCCCTCACCGCCGCCATCGCCGTCGTCCGCCGAGTTGTCCGCTGCCAGCGCCGCCCGCGCCCGCGCCTCGGCCTCGCGCATGACTCGCCGCCCAGCATCGTGCGCCAGCATCTCATCGTTAAACGCGGCTTCGTACGCGAGCACCTGGGCCACTGCGCCCCGGAGCGCCGCCAGAGCGCCCCGGACCTCGGCCAACTTGCTTGTCAGCGCAGCGACGTCGAGCTCGGCCCGCTCCGCGGTCTTCAGCCGCCCCACCAGAGCCTCGATCCGATCGAGCAGCTCCCGCTTCTCGCTCGCCGCCATCTCATTGGTCCGGCTTGTTACAGACTGCAGTGCGCTGAGCTTGCTCTCCATCGCCTCTGCTCGCGCCTTGTTCGCCTCGCCCACCGCCGCAGTCCGTTGATGCGCCGCCTGCTCGTCTGCCAGCCGCACCGCGAGCGCATCCGCCCGGGCATTGGCTGCCGCAAGCTCTGCCCGCATCTCACAGAGGCTCTCTTTAAGCCGCTTTCGCCCGCCTCGTCGCACCATGGTCAAAGAGTCGGGTGGCGCAACCAACGGCTGTTCTTCGCACTCTCCTGACTCTCCGCCTCTCGCACCACATCGCGTGAGTCCGTTGGCCGAGTTTGGTCGTGTTTGGCTGATTTGGCCAAACTGGCCGATTTGCTGCTGGACACCGTGGCAACGCGATGGCGACGCGATGGCGACACGATAGAGGGGGGGTGGGGTGGGGTGCAAGAGAAAGGAGAGGTGGAAGAGGCAGATGTGGTGTTTGGCCTGGTACCAGGCAAGTTAAGATCCGTGATGGCTGGACTCGACAAGCCCGGTTGACACATTGCTGCACCTCCATCAACACGCCAGACCAATCCATCAAGCCACCCACATTGATGCAAGACCAATGAGTGCCGCAGAGAGACCACTCGAGACGTGAGCGTGGAGAGCCGCTGACGTGTGGTCTGCCGATGATGCAAGGCACCAGTCAAATCAAAATATCAATAAATCCTTCGATTGGGTTGTAACGGCAAATGAGCGAAGGCCACCTGTCTCACAGCTGTGGCGGAGGGGGCGGGTATGAGCGAGGCGAGCGAGGTATGGGGCTCACTGACCTCCAAAACCGACGACATTCCTTCCCTCAACCTCACAGGTATGTTGGCTGTCCTGTGTACCAGCTGTGGCGAGGTGGGGCGGGGCGCGAGTGGCGGTCGGTGGTGGCGAGTGCGGGGCGGTGGTGGCGGAGGCGGCGCGGCGGCAAGGCGGAGCGACTTACACACATGCGATGGGGACCGGCTGGTGATGGGGTGATTGGGTGGTGGTGGTGGCATGTATGGTGGTAGGTGAGTCGATCACCATCGGACGGTCGTCGGCATGTACGGTGGTGCTGACGGACTTGCTGGTCTCTGGGCGGCATTGTACGGTGGTGCGGGGGAGGACGGCCGGGTGATGGTGGAGGATTCTTCGTCAAATGGTACCTTTGTCAAGCTCACCAAGATCGGCAAGGGGAACAAGACCGAGCTGGAGGATGGCGAGGCGCTGACGGTTGTGCCCAAGCAGAAAGGCCACGAGCTCATCGAGTGGTCGTTCTCGGTCATGTCGCTGGAAGAGCTGGCCGAGGCCAATCGCGAGCCGACGCCTGCGGAGAACTTTGAGGCCTTCTTGGCGGGGCCGGAAGTGTGGCCAGCGCTGGATGCGCTAGCCAATGCGTGCTCGCGGCACGAGGCGGAAAAGGTGGCGCACGCGCTGGTGACCATTTTTGACTCGCACGGTTTGTCGCTTGATCTGCTCAAGTGGGCCATCACGCGCGAGGTCTCGTCGACCGAGCGTGTCTCTGAGCTCTTTCGCGGCATTTCCGTCGAAACCAAGATTGTGTCCGACTATGCCAAGCGGTGTGGCGAGGGCTACATCACGGGCACGCTGCAGCCGACGGTACTGCAGCTGCTCTCGCAGGGCCTCTCGCTCGAGGTGGACGAGACCAAGCTCGCCAAGGGCGAGTCGATCGAAGCAAACCTGCAGATGCTCAACCTGTACTGCAACATTGTGGTGCAGATGATTTTCGAGTCGCTCGACAACGTGCCTGCCTCGTTCCCGCAGCTCTTCCAGTTTATGAAGGCCGCGGTGCTGGAGCGGTGGCCGGACGAGGAGCACATTGCTGTTGGCGGCTTTGTCTTTCTTCGGTTCTTCTGCCCGGCGCTTGTCTCGCCGCACGTGTACGGCATTGTGACGGCGCCGCTTGGGCCGCGCGAGCAGCGGTCGCTGATGCTTGTGGCCAAGGTCTTGCAGAATCTCGCCAACGGGCGGCATTTTGGCAAGAAGGAGCCGTACATGATTCCGGTCAACCCGTTTATCGACGAGAACCTTGACCGGGCGCAGGCGTTCTTCAACGCAATTGCCACGCCAAAGGCCGATCTTGCAGACGCCACCTCGGTTCCACCGCTCATCGAGGTGACCAAGGGCGGTAAGCTGCGCGCCATTCTTGCGTTGGCTCGGGCGTTTGACGCTGTTCGCGACCGCATGCTGCCAACGGCTGACGACGACGAGGACGTGGGCGCGGCGAATCTGCCGCCGTCAGTGGTCCGGATTGCCGGGGTGACTCACGCCGTGGTCTACAACCTTGTCAACGAGCTGCTTGCGGCGCACGCGGCCGAGGCGATTGTGGCCGAGACCGAGTTTGAGTCTGTCGAGTCGGGCGCGCGGGCGGTCAAACTCTCGGCCATGCAGGAGCTTCTCTCGCGCGGGCTCGGGGCACGAACCGACGGGCCCAAGCCCGGTGGCTCACTGGTCATGCCATCGGCGCGGCCGCCCAAGCTCGGCGCGGCCGAGGCGGCGGCGGCGGCGCGCAAGCGGCGGGCCAAGAGCGAGAAGGATCCCAAGCGCAAGAGCTCGCGCGGGCGGGTCTCATCGGCGTCGTCATCGCGCGAGGCAACGGGCGGAACCAGCTCTGGGCCGTCGATGCCGGTCGAGCACGTCGTGGCCGCGGTGGACCTCAATCTCAAGCCGGTCGACTTTGACTCGCTCTTTGCCCTCCTTCCGCCCGACGATCCGGCGCTCAAGCTCATCCAGGAGCAGTACCACCACCTCATTCGCCAGAACCAGCAGCTGCAGGACCAGCTGCGGCGGATCGGCAAGGAGAAGCGGCGATGGCACCACGAGGCCATTAAGCTCCGGCGGGTGGCCGGTCTCACCTCCCAGCCCGAGCCCATGGACGCCAAGACCGAGTTTGAGACGGCTCCGTTCCAGCTGTTCATGCTGTAGCTCTCCCAACAATGAGCGGTGCCCCCCCCCCGGGGCAAAGGGCGACATCAGCGATGCCGTTTGCAGCTATATACAATACTGGGTTCCTGGTGGGTGGGAGCAAGTCATCGGGAGGGAGAGAGAGTTTGTGTGTGTGCGTGCGTGTGTGTGTGTGAAAGAATGGCGAGGGGGCGTTGTAGTTGGCTGGCAGCGGCAGGCAAGGCGGTTGGCTGGCGGACTTGGAGCACTTCTCGCTGACCTCAGACGAGCCGAGCACCATGGGTATTTGGCAGCTGATTGCCGTTGCCATTGCAGCCACTCTTGCCCTCTCTGTGGTCCCTGTCCAAGCCGAAAGTATGCATGAATGTGTGTGTGTGTGTGTGTGAGCACGAATGTGTGTGTGTGTGTGTGTGTGTGTGTGTGTGTGTGTGTGTGTGTGTGTGTGTGCGTGT